CTTTTTCTACATATTTTAATGTTCAATCTTAAGTGCAAAGATTAGCACTATAAACAATTTGAATTTCTAAAAAAAAAAAAAAAAGCAATGGCGACATCTCTCGTTCGAATTATCGTTGTAAAACGATATTCGAAGTTGTTTGTATGCTGGAAAGGATATAACAATAGATGGTGCCAAGCATTGCTTCAAATGCTAAGAAAACAATGTGGAAGAATGCATTAAGATTTTCGTCGGTGTGGTAATCAGCCGTTTAGCTCAGTGGCTAGAGCGTCAGGCCGCGAATGCCGAAGACGTGGGTTCGATTCCCACAGCGGCGACAATCTTTTCGCACTTTTTCTACATATTTTAATGTTCAATCTTAAGTGCAAAGATTAGCACTATAAACAATTTAAATTTCTAAAAAAAAAAAAAAGCAATGGCGACATCTCTCGTTCGAATTATCGTTGTAAAACGATATTCGAAGTTGTTTGTATGCTGGAAAGGATATAACAATAGATGGTGCCAAGCATTGCTTCAAATGCTAAGAAAACAATGTGGAAGAATGCATTAAGATTTTCGTCGGTGTGGTAATCAGCCGTTTAGCTCAGTGGCTAGAGCGTCAGGCCGCGAATGCCGAAGACGTGGGTTCGATTCCCACAGCGGCGACAATCTTTTCGCACTTTTTCTACATATTTTAATGTTCAATCTTAAGTGCAAAGATTAGCACTATAAACAATTTAAATTTCTAAAAAAAAAAAAGCAATGGCGACATCTCTCGTTCGAATTATCGTTGTAAAACGATATTCGAAGTTGTTTGTATGCTGGAAAGGATATAACAATAGATGGTGCCAAGCATTGCTTCAAATGCTAAGAAAACAATGTGGAAGAATGCATTAAGATTTTCGTCGGTGTGGTAATCAGCCGTTTAGCTCAGTGGCTAGAGCGTCAGGCCGCGAATGCCGAAGACGTGGGTTCGATTCCCACAGCGGCGACAATCTTTTCGCACTTTTCTACATATTTTAAAATCCGTAATATCCTATCTCCGTTGCGAGGAGGAACCAAATCGCCTGCACTCTTAGACATGACATATCAGGTGTGCCAGATCCTCGACAATTAAAAAATCCACGTAAAAATGTATTATATTCCGGGAATATACAACTACCATGTCAATGTACAAACAAGATTTGAGGAATGCCGGTAATAGATCTGTTTGCGCCGAGCACATGTGGTAAGCAACTATGTATCTTTAGATCTAACAGGCAATCAAGCCCTGTTCCACGATGCCTTCGCACAAATTTGAAGGTACCGTCTAGCCTGGATCTTTCCTCCCCCAGAAGGTTTTAAGCCACCTGAATCAAGCATAAGGGATATACTGGATGGTAGTACCACGTTGGAATCAAGTCTTCTGGCGTCCGGACTTCAAAACGAGTGCCCTAGCCCCACCGCTCACTCTACAGCACCTAGACAAAGTCCTGTTCGACACTGCAACGGGACAACATCCTCCAAATGTCAAAGACATGACTTTAGAAGTGTGGAAATTTGGGGGTGGACGGGGATGCTAGATACTTGGAATGACAGTCAATTAAAACTTCTCGAAAAATCCTGGCGTCCTTCAACGCGAAAACTTTGCAGTGCTGCATGTAAACGGTGGCTTACCTGGTGTAATATACATCAAATTACCGAATACCGCCGCCCATGGACATCTGCCCATTTAGGTCTGCAGTTGCATGGAAGAATTGGCTGGATAATGTTCCCGTTGAAGAGATACTGACCAGAGACAATTGGCGTTCTCAAAATACCTTTTCTAAATTCTATAAGCCAGAAGTAAGGCCTTCGACTAATCATTCCTCTGTAACTTCTTTGTTTAATCCAATTACTTGAGAGTAAAACTGATTTATATATTTTTTGTTTAAAATATAATTTTAATTTTTTTCTAATAATTATTTACAATCAGTGAACTGCACTTGTATCTTAATTTAAAGTGTTACATGCAATTATCTAGCCAATTATCTATTCTTAAATATTTAGGGTCCTTTTTATTCTAAGTGGATATACTAAAAAATCACATTGGCGTCCTATATCACATCCACCAGGCGATAACAAACATGTCTCAATTAAATAAGCTTCGAATAACGGTCAAGTCAAATTAATAGAGGTGTTTTACCTACCAATAAACCGCTTATTAATTTACTTACCTTATTCGAAGCTTATGAATCATATCTGCCTGGTAATTGAGGACTCAAATGAAGTTTAAGCAACTAGTACTGCAGTCGTAAACTCTAATTCAGCCAAGCGGATGTGACGTCATAACAAAGAAGGAACTAAATTACCGGAAGTTACGAGTTGTTTAAGGTGGGAAATATATATCCTATCTCAATCGGGCAAAATTTTTCCAGCTTGCTTGCCATACTTAATATTTTACTTAATCATTATGGCATAAGTCAGACATATAAATAACTTATAACACCGCTTATACTCCATTCCATTGATTGACATTATAATAATAAGCGTAAATAAAATTCAGAATACAATCCAGCAAATTAAGAAATAGTAAAAGAAATAGAAAGTTGTGATTCCATGCAATAAAAGCTGCAAGAAGTTTGTTGTTTGTAAAGTAATTAAATTATTTGGATTGGAATTCGGTGGGTCCCTCAAATATATTTTAAAATCGTAATGTATGTATGTTTGTACGTAATTAATCGTAAGTATATGTAGGTAATCGTAAGTAATCGATATTGTTTATGTTTACGTCTGTCTGTCTCTATATTCTTGAGCCATAATTTTATTTTCCTAAATATCAAATAGGAGTGTATCACTAGAGGTAAACATGAAACACACAAATTTCAAACCTAAACATTGCTGTTCCATCATATACAAAGAGCTCAAATACTATATTAAAGTATTTAATTCATCAACTTTATTAATGGGAAATGCTTTATAACAATGTATTTTGCTTTATTTTATTTAATGAATAGTGGATAACTACACGTATTTTTATACACACGGTGGCTGATTACTAAAACGTGATGTACTTACCATTTTTAATAATTTTTTTTCACAGCACGGGGCTGATATTTCTGTCGCACTTTCTCACATAACAGCTCTTAAAGCCTCTGTCTTTCCGTCCTAACTATCGTTTTTACTCAATGTTGCGACCGCTGAAATGACGCATTATTTCTCAGAGGACATTGGAAATAAATTTATTTAGAATGATTAGTTGTCTTTAAATGTGTAAAACTTTTGAAAAAAGTATTGATCGCACCCGCAATAATTTTTGACGGGAAAGTTAAAAAAATATTGAATGAAACTATTTTACTCATCACATCGTTTATTATAAAATTAAGAGCATTCACAGTCACAGACTGAGTTAGTAGATTCCTAATGAGTTTTTCAGGGCTACCGACCGAATTTTTAAAATTATTTATTGATGTTTTATCCAATCTAGGTAGTAATTACTGATTGATTGTTTGCCTTTAACCTTGAAGTTTTAAATTGATTATATACATGGGGGGCCTGGATAATCTGTAAAAATTGTTTCATTCAATAATTAATCATAGGTAAATTACTTCAGTCCAGAGGTCTAATAACAAGACAGAGGATTGCATTCTCGTGTAATATTATTCGATATGAGAAAGAATTTCATAAAATCTAAGCTGAGAGTTAAATATTTATTTCATAATCTACGAAACAAATCTATTTAAAAAGGTGTTATGACTCCAGTTTTCTATTGCTTCTTGTATCCTATCGGTTATACAGTCATTAACGAAAACTTTGAAAGGTTACGCAAAAAAAATCATCCAAAAAAGGTGCCGTGAGTAAAAATAAAACGCAAAAGGTCAATAAGAAAAATGAAGAAAAAGTCGCATAGAAAACGATTACAGAAAATGTAAAGATGAAGCAAATAAACCAATAATTGTATAATCTTTCTCTATGTAACATAAAACATCGTTTCTTCGTTAAATATTATTTTAAATCGACTGAAAATATTATGGGCGCATAGACAAAAAAATATAAGATTTGAAAGCAGGTGCCGATCTTTATAGGGGATTTCGAAGATTCAATAAGGAACAAAAGAATTTGCAGAAGCTTAAGAAAATTTTCTTCGTTAATAGAATTTCGTAGAATCAATTACCTCCTAACTATAAAGCGTATAAAAGAAAAAATAATAATATATATCGTGACGCATATGACATCCACACCCGTGTAAGTGAAAGAGCGGTAAAAATTGAACTGACTAGAAGTGGGCGATACAAATCTAGTTTTCGTACTGAGATCATATCTAAAGACGAAAACGATATATTGGTTCAATATCGTAAAATCGCTTACTAGCTCATTCGAAATCTATGTATTACAATATCTAGATATTTCCGATGTACCGAATACTTGCTCACTAGCTGTGCTTACACGAATCGCGATAATATGATACACGCTTAAGAGCGACAAAGGGTGTGAGATATAAATATTACACTAGTTAGAGCGCTACGACAATGCTCATATCAGATTTTTGAACTGTAATTTTAAATCTTAACATTATGCAAATAAAGTTTAGCTTCTGTTAAATACCTATGATATAGTCGTGTCGTTTGAGAGCCGCGTATAGGATTAGATTTATGAATCTAATATGAATATGCGAATGTAAAATATCTAGGTACATATTAAAATACATAGTTTCGTAATCAGATATTGAAAATCGAAATGTGATTCAGATACGATTCACAGAAAAAGTGAAAAGACGTGGGTCGTAACGTCTAGAACTGGCATAGTTCACGCAATCGGTAATCAAAATGGTGTCGAAGATGCCGCTACCAAGATGACGGGCCCAATATGGCTGTCAAAATGGTATGTCCAATATAACGGTGAAGATGGCGGGCACAATATGGCGAACGCAAGATGACGGACGCAAGATGGGACGCAAGATGACGGGCGCAATATGGCGAACGCAAGATTGCGGACGCAAGATGGCGGGCGCAGTATGGCGGACGCAAGATGGCGGACGCAGTATGGCGGCCAAGATGGCGTACCTGCAGCGCCGTGTGGCCGCCGTAGACGCCGTTGACGTCCGCGCGGGCGCCGTCACCGCGCGCCAGGATGTCCGCGCACCGCGCCGCGTCGCCGTTCGCCGCCGCCTTCACCAGCTCCTCGTTCGCGTCACCGGTCACGTGCGACTCGAACAGCTTCTTCAGGAGCACCGACAGACGGTCGCCTAAAACGCGCCTCGCGTCAAGTTCGGCAAAAAGGGTTGCAATAACATCGCAACAATCAGGTTATCGTCTTAGAAAAGATACCGCGAGCTATATAAGCTTAGTTATGCCTTTATAAAATTACCTTTGAAATATCGCTTGGACGAAAATTAATAGCATATTTAGGTTTTACGAGCAATTTCATCACAATAGAACCATCTAAAATAAATACTGTGCTTCTACAACCCATAAAAGCAAGTAAACTTTCATTAAACGTTGTTATTCACCTGATGAATTGCCATGCACGCTGCCGTCAGACGAAAACACTTTTGTTACAGCGTTAGGATTATACGTCCAAGAGGTGTTACAAACTTCCACTTTGAGATCGTTGTCGTGATAAATCTGTTGTACTCGTCCTATTTTGCCTAGTGTCTGCAATAAAATGTATTAACATATATAAATTGCACTTAGAATATAGGATAACTTTCATATACTTAGAATATAAATACATATTGATTTATGTATGTGAGATCTATACATAAAAAACACTGCTTTCCAGTGTCTTTTAAATATACCTACATGTGCATAATATCTAGATTATAATGCAATAGTGCCCCATTTACCATTCAACGTACACTTACTCAATTATTTGTCGAACTTCTCAGACAATGACTTTTTTTGATTAGGGAAGCGGTGGTTTACCTGACGTTACGTGAAAACTGCCTCCGATGAACAAGTACAATACCTATTGGATGGCAGATGCGTTACAAGTGAGGTAACTGGGGCCCATAATATTTTTTTAAAGAATGAACAACGAATACCCAAGTGAGTACATGCTCTTTGGTGCATGTAAGCGTCCAAAAACTTTGACAGTGAGACTTTTTAATGTGTCGAACTGTCAAACGAGGAAGCGGTTCACCTGATGTTATATGAAGACCGCCGCCAGAGGACATCTACAACACTGGGAAGGCTTGCAAATGCATTGAGAAGATTTAAAAAATGCGTAAAGAAGTGGATAGTGTGGTAGGCTTTAACAGCACGAGCTTATATATTCTTCATTTTATACCTAACATATTTACGTGGATAGTAACCTATTTGTTGATATCCAATATGTTTTATACTTTTATTTTTCGCGTACCAGTTTTTATAATGTATTTCTTAACTTGCATGGACTATAAATACGGTGTTGGGTAATGGCACAGTGCGTAAACTAAAATCATATTTTTAATTAAATTCCATTCCATTAAAAATGTCTGCTCCGGTTACTTCACTCTCCAGACGAAACGCGAAAGTGTGATACTTCCACTGCAAGCCGGCCTTCTGTTCGTCGTACTAATTGCAGTCTGCCCATTCGTGCACGCAACAGTCAAAACTGTTGCGAGACCCGACCACAGTGAAAATGGATAAATGAAGATTCTATTCATTAAAAATGCAGGATTTGCATTTTGCTTGAATAGATTATATGGTGTTTCATTTAAGTTACTGGCATTTGAAATACCCATAACCGATTATGTTATGATTACTAAGAATTTATAAAGTCGCATCGCATTATATATTTGTAAGTACGCAGCAGTCTTTGCTATTGCACGAATGGGCAAGTCCGTCGGGAAATACCGCAACCTCACAGAAGAACAGCTAGAAGTTAAATGGAAGTGTTACACTAATGCGTTTCGTCTGGTGAGTGAGGTAACCAGGGCCTTGTTTATTGAAAGACATCCCTACGGTTGTTCCAAACGGCCATGGGAGGCGGTAATCCCATCAGGTGAACCGAGGGCTAGCTTGCCATCTTACAATACAAAAATAAAACATAACATAACATAGTGAATTGTTCTCCTACTGTAGTAGTAGTGTGAGTACTTACGGGCGCCATCGCCTCTGCCCACTCCCCGTGCCCTCTCTGCAACGCCTTCACGCGCTCCTGGTCCGAGCAGACCTCCACCAGGTCGCCGACGGCAAAGCCGACAGCAGAACTGCTTCCCGCACCAGCTCCGCTCGCCGACGTGGACGCGCTCAGATTGCCACCGCACACCTGCGCACGGAATTAAGCGAAAATGTATGGTGACGCGAGTGAATTTATTCGTTGAAGTAATCCACAAAAGGGGGTAATAAATAAATAGAAAAACAATCGGGGCAGGACTTGTTTTTTTTTTATACACCTCGGAAAACATACAGCAAAAGAAAATTTATAATATACTAGCTGCATGCGTGAAACTTTATAATTATGAAACTACCTTAGTTAGCACGGCGGGGTTAAAGGTCCAACGGTTGCCGCTAGGATAGGACACGACGATGTCGTGGTCCTCGTCGATCCCGCTGACGGCGCCGGTGGTGCTGAGGCACTCGAACATGCCGTCCGTCCAGCCGCCGTGCCCATGCTGCAGCGACTGCACTATCTCCAAGTCAAGATCGACGTTCACCTGGAAATTTTGAAATTGGAATGCATCAGTAATTTTATTTTTTATTTAGCGACAAAAAACTTAACCATCTCTGAATAGCATATCTTTATTTAAATGAAGGTAAGGTATAGAACCTTACCTTCAAATGAAGGTAAGGTTCTATATAGTTTTGTTTTAAAAATTCTATTCACTGATTAGATTTACCAATATGTAGGCAGGACCCGTTTACTAGCAGTAAATAAATATCTCATATGCAATATTTTAACATCATCAAATATTTGATTTAATTTTTAGGGTTCCTTACCATAAATAAAAGGTAAAGAAAAGGAACCTGTATAAGATCATTCTCTTGTCTGTCCGTGTAACGCCACCGATTTTCTCAAGAACAGGTGGGCCTAACAAGTTGAAATTTGTATCTCAAACACTCAGATCCGGAACAATTGTCTGTGGGTCTGTCCTATACTTATCCCGGGTGGGAATCAAACCCGCGAACCCCACGTCTGGACCAATTTGATTTTTTGCATGCAGCATAAAAGTTTAAATTTTTCACAAATAGAAAAGTTGCTTATCATCTTATCAACTCGGAACATTGTACCTTAGTTTTCTCTACATTGCTATTTATATGTTTTTACCGGAAGCATATGGTTACCTGATCTCCAACTTGTAAGCCATGTGGTCCTGTACGCCCAGGACCAAGCTCTCCCAGAAGAGGTAGATGTTCCTTATAAACATTCTGGCCTTTAACATCATTTACAACCTGCAATACATTTTATGTTCAATTTGTGTTACACAATTATCTGTTTCACTTTAATTATTCACATTACCATACATACTATATGTATGTATATACTATCACTGATAGATATAAGTACACACACCTTTAGATCTGCCATGCCTTCAAAACCAACTCTGTATAAATTCTTTGCACCATTGTCCCACACAACATAGGCTGCAGAACGAGGACTCGCTGCTGACCAATCTTGAATTTCGTTTACTTTACCACGCCTACCATTTCCGCCATCTTGATCCTCCCATTGCCAATCAACCTTAAATGGCAAGAAACGACTGCAATAATTTTTTTATACTCATGTTTAGATATGTAATGTATGCGACTTAACAAACTCTACAAATATTATAGGTACTTGAAATGGCATTAATTTTAATTAAACACTATAATTATGTTCTACTAAAAAAAAAATTGAATATCTGAATTTATATTGAATTCATCCACCCATTTTAACTGTGGTAGGGCCATGCAAATCAGGTCTGGGGAAGTACCCCAACCTCACAGAAGAACAGTGTGAAATGGAAGAGTATACTTATGCCTATTGTCTGGTGAATGAGGTAACCGGGCTCCACTTTATTAAAGGTTAGCAAAGCATCCATAACCATGACAATACCAAAGTCCAAAGTAGATGCAAAATCGCAAGCTATGATTTATCTATGATCACTAGTAAATTTGATGTCTTATGTACTGACCCCTCTAACAACCCTTGCTCCAGGAAATATACCCCTGACAGCATTCTTCTTACTTTTACGCCGTGGCTCTACCAAGCAACGCTGAGCACCGGGAGCACTGATTCGGTAGAATCTGTGACGTAAATGATGCTTGTCCCCATGATAGCAAACAGAACATAGATCGTAGTTACTACATTCAGCACACTTCCATCGAATACCTGAAGAATAGGATTTTACACATTATATATTGTCAAACCTGTCTACTTTATGATAAATGGAGATGGTCTGATCTTATATTTGGAATTTATGTTACTATTTAATCCAATAAAATAAATCATTAAGTACACATATTTTATTTAGTACAAAAAAATCAATTTATTTAATTAAACCGTGATCTTTTGCCTACAGTCAAGCTATCATGACTATATAAAACATGTGTTACCAAATATAGGCTGCTGTCGACAAGTATCACACATAGTTCCTTCGTGCTTAACACCTGTAGGAGCACTGTCAAGAATACGCAAATCATAAGCTCCGGAACATCTATAATTGGCTGCAGTTCCATTATCCCAGACAACAACTACTTCTTCAGGCGATTCGAAATTTCTTACTGTGCCGACGTGTCCATCTCCCCCATCCTATATAAAATAATATTGATTATTATCTTTCTAGTAGTAAAAAGCTTAAAGTTAAAATCTAAGCTATAAATATAAACAATATCCCCTTTTAATATACCTGTTTGCCCCACTTCCAGTCTGGACCGCGAATGACTCGGGCCCCTACTCCTTCCATCATAAATCTAATAGATCTAGAAGTTGCAGATGAACTGGGCACATTCGACTCAATGGCTGTACCGTTTTTTTTAAAAAGTTAAATAATAAGGAAAGAACACTTTGCGAGTTATACTACCTACTTTACTTTTTGTTGTCAACAACAATATGACATATAAGTTTTTTTATAATGAAAGGGTTCCGTCTTGTTGACATACTGCCATCAGTAATAAAATAAATTATTTTACAAATTGTGAGATTAAAAATAACATTTATAATTTAACATAATGATTCCTACGTTAAATTAAAGGAATTATACTATTCGTAAGAAAATTTGTTGTAAGCGCCGCACGGCGGCGTTAATAGCTTCTGACTTAGACCTACAAAAAATGCTTATTCGTTTTCAAGCTGATAACGCATTTACTTTGTAGTATTTAACTTGTAGTATTCTGGAGGGTTGTCTTGTATACTTTCAAAATAAATCTAAAATTAGGACAGAAGATCTTGTTAATAAAAGCGAAGTTGTTTCCTTTTTATACACATAGAAAAAATCTAATGTCTTAAAAAATCTAATTTCACAAATTATTTTTTATTTGTGTGGCCCAAAAACGTAAACGTAAACGTAGTGATTACATTCTCTTTGGTGTGGCCCTATTCTGCTGTTGAGTACAATCAACTTTGCATACTTTTTATTTAAAAACTAATAATAATAGTGGATGGTTGGAGTGTTCATTGACGTTATTGACGGGCGGTATAATAAATAAATAATAGCAATAAATTATTTCAATAGGATTCAATAGATAGTCATCATTAGAAGACATTAATAGTCTGCATGTAGAAATCCTCAAAACGTTATTGTCTATTAATAATAACGACATTGACGTTAAATAATTTATTTGTCAATAGAAAAGCAGATGGGTAAAGGCACTCATAATTCCACAAAAGACAAAAACATTGTCATTGCATGTTATAGTAGTGGTGAGGTGTAAGCAGATATAAACTCCTCGATAATGCCTCATAATCGAAATAAATATGAAAAAGCTCGACGACGTCTCGCAGCAGTTACATTTCTAACAAATATATCCCTCGATGGTACATTCAAAGATACAGGGCTCTGCCAGTTATTAGAAAAAACATCCAAGGGTGACAAATGTGATGCAGTACTAAAAAATGGCGATGTTTCTCATAATGTTGAAAAAGATAACATAGCCCGAAATAGTATTCGAGGACGTAACAAAATATCTCAGTCTAGCCCAGTCAATCGTGTGGGGGGTGATAATCATTCTTTAAGTTCGGATTCAGACCATGGCCTAGTAACACCTGTTATGACAGGAGTCAATCAAATCAGAGAAAGGTAAAAACTAAGAAGGTTGCTGTTTTGTCAAACAATCTTTAAATATAATGATATTAACATTTTGTTAAATCTAAGGTGTCAATCTGGAAATACGGAGTTATATAAGGAAAAGCATTCATCTGTAAGAAGTCGTAAAGCTCATCTTCCTTCTAGTTTCACACAAGATGAGAAGAGCAGTTCAGAGAGTCTTAATATTGGTAAGTTTTAAAGTTGAATTTTGTAATTAATTGCTTAGCAATTAAAAAAATGTTAAGGGACACAGTACAATACATACATTGTATTTGTATTTCAGGTAGATTTCGATCTAGCAACCCATGTATACCAGAGAATCATTTTTATGCTAAAGAAATAAGAATTGTGCGCCACACAAAAGGGGTTACATTTAGAGATGAAAGACTTGCAATAGCTCCAACTCAAGGTGCCCCTTGTGCTTTGTATAGTACTATTCCATATTCTAAAACTATTCGCAATGCAAGGTATGTTGGTTCAAATATTTCATATTATTATTTAAGACTTTTTAACAGTTGCAAACATAAAAACATATAAGCATGACCATAAGTAAGTTTGATCATAAGTAAGCTTTTTTTATCATTTGTCACAATGTCAGTCTAAGTTTCCTAGTGTGTGATAACATAAAATGAAACATTATGTCATTGTATTTCTGTCCAATTACATGGGAATCAATCCAATTAACGGAACAAAATTTTTCCAACAATTTGTACAGAAATACATTGCTTTTACAATCAATATTTTGTTACTATTGTACACCATTTGGGGCTATATGGCAAAGAAGTACATCTTACATACATGAAAAGTTCTAGTTTAATTTTTTTTATAATAAATCTTCAATATTCACTTACTGACTGAAAGTAAGTATAAATGGTATGCTAGAAAATGAATGTCATAGGGCCAGGTGAGTTTATCAAAAGGTCATTCACAGATGAAGTTTCACTAAATATAACAGTCACTATGTAAGAAACCTATTTACTTAAATGCCTTGTTGTGTTTCAGTTGCAGATAGACATTTATGTAAAAGATGAATGGATAGTTGACAAAATATAAGTAAATGTTGTTTGGAAAGATCCATTATTTGTTTTTATATTAGAAGGTATCAAGTGAGCTGGCAGTGTACCTCATGTTAAGTGATGACTGCCATCCAGGGACATTTACATCAACAAGGGGGACAGACGTGTTGCCGCTTCACTTATCATATAAAACACACAGAAGCATGTCTTCCACTTACACCGGCCTTGACATTTTCCCGGACAGACCTTCCTAGTAGTGCAACATCGAAGCCTGTTATGTGGCCCTACCACAGTTTAAAGTCTTTATAAAACATAAAATTTCAGATCAGATATTAGAAAAGATGGTGTTCGCAGGCGTAACACTTCAGGGCCTAGACCTCTATCCTCCATAACTGACAATGGGATGGATCCTTTTGATCTCCTAGGGCTGGAAAAAGAAGAGAATGGACAAGATATATCTTATTCGAAGTTATTGGTGCCCTCACGAGTGTGTACCCGAGAACAATATAGAAAAATGTATGTTGGCGACATTGGTGATAAAACATCATGGAAGATGCTAAATCGTCCTCCCCATGTCATAGCGAGGTATATTATTACATCCTTTTCATTTTGTCCTAAAACAATTAGAAATACAGCAAATACAACTTTTAAAATTTACATACTTGATTCTAATACAACTAATCTATATATATATAAAAATGAATCCCTATTTCCCTTGGTCACGCCATCACGCGTGAGGCGTGGACCAATTACACTTTTTTTTTTGTTGTTTGTTATTATCAGGACAAGGTTCTTATGAAAGAAAAAATTTAAAAAATTGCCTGAAAAAGTCCAAAAACAACACTTTTCTATATTCCCATACAAAAGATTCGTAATAATACTTAAAAGTCAATTTGAACTTTAATACCAAACCATAAAGTTTAAGTGTTAGTGGAGGGGTTCCGGGAAGGCAAAACAAGTGAGCGGCTGTGGTAAAATGTCACTTGAAATGTAAACGTCTGTTTGCTGTGCATCACTACATAGTATAAAACAAAAGCGTCCCGCTGTCTGTCTGTCCCTATGTCCGCTTAGATCTTTAAAAGTATGCAAAGGTTTTTTTTACTAAATAGAGTGATTCAAGTGGAAGGTTTATATGTATAATACATTGCACCCGTGCGAAGCCGGGACGGGTCGCTAGTTCTCTATAAAATATAAGTCAAAACAAGGTCAATGAAAACTAAGACATGAATAACAGTTAGCATATTCCAGCTGATTGATTTTCAGAACTGGCTAAAGGTATACATTAAAAAAATTTAACATTGAATAAAACAATTTGCACATAGACAATTCTTTTTTATTAATATTGAATGCATTGATTTAAAAAAATGTTGCCAACAAATCAGAACACTACTCTCAAAATTGTTGATTGGTTAGGAGTTATCAAATAAACCAATTTTTAAGAGAAGTATTTAAAAGAGATATTTAAGAAAATACAATTTTTTTAATTCTACTAATTTTAGGTGCATGTTAATGAGATGATGATGAGATTTTAATGTATAAAAACATTATGAAAATTGATGGCATACCCCTAAAACGAATATACTTAGTTGTATTTGTTGTATCACTAATCATTATTATGTGTTGCAAATGAATTTCTTTTATTTTTAATTATATTCTTCCAGGGGTGCAATTTTTACAATGTCAAACAAGCAGCTATGGATTTTAAAAATAGTCCATTTAATTTAAGAAATACATTTTGATAGATCTCAGATGAATTTGCCTCAGAATGCAGTACCAAAACCCATGCTTAAAAAATTAATGAAATAACCTATTTAGAATTTATTATATGCTTCCTGTTACACAAGAAAAAAGTTAGAAATGTTTTACATAACTTTATTATAATCTAATACCTGATACTCACTGCCAGTCAGTAAACAATCAGTAAGAAGGTGACAAGAGAGTTTGCCGTTTACCTGATGTTAAGTGAAAACCACTGCCTACGGACATTTTCAACACATGTACTGTTGCAGATGTGCCACTTAATATAAATTGGGCTTATTTGAAAAGTTAAGCCCACTTTATTAACTTTATATTTTGGCAATAACGATTTTATCCACTTAATGGTAGAAATATTATTCGAACTTTGAGTTAATAAAATCGAACCTATGTACCTTACAAATCTATATACATAATTTTTGATGTATAATTTGACGATTCATAAGGGCGCGCAAGCGTCTATTTGAATAAATATATTTTTGATTTGATTTGAATTAAGTATTTAAATGCTGCTTGTCATGTGCTCATAGTCTTCGCTGTTGAAAGAATGTGTAGGTCCGTCTGGTTAAGTACGCCGACCTCAAGAGGACCAGCGTGAAGTAGAAGTGATATACTTCTGCGTTTCGTCTGCGTGAGTGAGGTAGGCGGGGTCCAATTTATTATAAAGTGGCAACGCATCTGCAACCCTACGGGTGTTGCAAATGTCTATGCGCGGCGGTTATGATTTAACATCAGGTGAACCGCCAGCTCGCTTGCTACCTTCTTACATAAAGAAAAGGATCTATAGATTAACGAAGATACCTATTTCTGGCTCAAAATAGTATATAGTATGATTTATAGTTTTGAGTAGCCCGTATTAATTTAAACTTGATTTTTCGGTATCATTTTAAATTAGTTAAACCTGGAGTATATCTGGGGTCTGTATATCAATAATATGCGCCGGAGAAGTTTTTTATTAATTGTGTAAAGTATCACAATAATGGGAGGTTTTTCGAAGAAATACTAATTATAAGAATTATTTTTGTTATTTGATTATCAGCGTTCAATGAAGCCTTATTAGTAAAGTCATCTTCTGTTTCATTTTAATTTTTTATTTTCAATGACTCAGTTATTACACAATATTTACACCGGTCAGAGAGAATGTAATCACTACGTTTATTTATACATTTATAATATACAGTACCCGGAGGACCAAATCGACAAAAAATTAAAAATAAAGAAAGCAATGATCTGGAATCGAAAAAAAAAGTAAAAAAATAAATGTGTCTGTTTTGGGGCCGCCCGATTACCGACCGAGCTATTATGACATTTTCTCTTGTGGCGAAATTTACCGTCATATTCGAATTATATTTTTCATTCCCTGAAAACAGGGATAAAAGGACATTTTCTAAAAATGAAACCTAGCTAGATCGATTTTTCGCCCCCGAATCTACGCACATACTAAATTTTATGAAAATCGCTGGAGCCGTTTCCGAGATTCCGATTATATATATAAATATATACAAGAATTGCTCGTTTAAAGGATAAGATTTATGTATACAGGGAGACGTTTTTAAAGGTGCCCAAATTTACACAGGAGGTTCAGACTTGGTAGTATAATCGTTTATTGAAATAAAAACAAACTTTTTAAAAAAAAAATTAATATTCTATTCCCTATAAAACAGAACCTGTTGACAACGCGGTAGTCATTCATAAATACCTAAATTTTACTGTTCACAGACACAAACGATATTGTGTGCGTGTTAGATAAGAATGATCGCGCGTAAAATAAATGAGTTGCGGATAAATCACGCACTTTTTGAGATTTGAGTGATTGAAAATATTTATGTATTTTTTAAAACAATATTTATATCTAGAATTTAATTTAAAAAAATGGATACCTTTAGAAAAGCCTCCCTGTATAAACATTTATATACATTTTTGACACCGGTAAGGAAAATGTGAAACGTCAAAATGTATTTCTTGTATTGCTTGTTGACATAAGGCTTTATTGTTAAATGTTAAATCATGTAATTATTATACTTTCATTCATTCTGCTAATATTTAGTTTTTATAATTGTTGTTTTTTTTGTTCCATCAATGTGCCACCCATAAAACATTTGCATGTTTCGTTGGTATCCTTATTTCCTATGAATTTTACAACATTATTCTCTTTCATATGAACATAGAACTTAATAAATAAAGTTCCAACATGTTATGCACAAAAAACATGAACGTTCATATCATACTTAATCGGATGTCGCGACTTACAGTTGATTTCACTACAGAGCTTCACCGCATATCATCATTAACATTTTGAATTTCAGGACTAAGTTATTGACGAGGCACAAGGATAAGAAGTGGTAATCATAAAACAATAACTTTGGTATTCTTAAAACGCTAATCCGCATTATTACATTACATATATGGACTGAAATCCATGACTTGCTGAGCCCGACCGGATGCTATTGAAACTATTTCGAATACTTTTAGAAAAATCGTCATGTATTTAAGTCCAAGTTGTTGGCCATTTGGTGATTGCTAAACAACTTGTGCTGAAGTGATTGCTAAATATTTATAATAACAAATGTAGATTCCATACGAATGTAGATATTATCTATGAATTAACAATTTTATGACATTTCGCATGCACAAGATATTATTAGAGCATACTACCAACATTGAACGATATATAATGCACTGAGCAGGCCATTAACTTAATTCTGCGCAAATTTAATTGAATAATAATTTTATTTAACATTAAAATCAGTTATATTTAAGTGGATGGATTTACATGGAAAGGTAAAGACTTTATTACTCTGAAAGTATAATAGTTTTGTAACATTTTTTTATTGTATTTTGATCATATAAAAAACTTAAATATGTGGTATTTAAATCTCCTTATACTTTATATAGCACAAGTAACATTAGAATAATGATAGATTATTCACTGAATATCTGAGATATGGCTAGTTAAATAAAACCCTTCTACGTTTTACCCTTCCTCGCCACGGGAGAGACCGACTGACTACGAACGCTGTAAACGTAACGTCGGGAATTTGAAATAAAAATAAAACACGCTAAAACAATTCCATTTAACCATGTATAGTATTCGAGAAAATATAAGGCTACAATTTTGGTTACATGTTTTCATTGCTACTCAACGACCTAAAAGTATATGATTATATACAATTTTAATCCATGTTTTATATCCCCCTACCTTTCTTTCATTTGCATTCATTATTTTTTGCGATAAAATTTTAAAAATACACTAATACTTCATACACATGTATATATACTTTATAACAATGTACGAGAGCGGAGCGTATTATCTTATTACTTAGTCAAAGCATGCGATTTACTTAATTTAGCAATCTCAACTAACATTACCTATAACCATTGATGCACGTGCATGCAAACTGTCAGCTTCGATTGCACTAACGTTTCACGCATTAAAATTACTTTGAGAAGGATATTTGTAATAGTGCAATATTTTAGGTGCTTTTCGTATGAATCTTCTCAACGCACTACGATAGCTTCGTCCCCGCCGCTTTCGTCGATAGAGAACAAAACTTTCGATTGGGAGGAAGGCGCAATAATTCCGCAAAAGTTTGTGAGTATAATCGATGTGTACAAATTTAAATGTTTCGTCGATACTTTGGATAGGATTTTGTGTCATGATATGAACATTATCGTTCACTTTACTAATAGCTGACAGTTTCGAGTAATAAAACGCGTATTCTTTTGAATAAACTCAACCGTAAATGCGCCAGGGCTGTTTTGTGTACATAGTAAATACTTAGGTGATGTCTACCCGTCCGTTCATCTAGGTACTATATACAAAATTATATAGAATAAGTTTGCATCAAGTGAAATAAAAGTGACCATTGTTTTAGTAACATAAAAGTTAACATTAGTCAATACTTGAGCAACCTGAGTTCAAATTCCCATGTCTTATGATATGTTTACCTGCTTAAGTGACTGATTTACCACGTGACCTTAATCTTAGAAATAATTTTAAACAAAGTGTATTCAGAAGATATTTTAATGTCTGCAAGTAGGGTCGCGTGGACTATGTAGACTATGCCCCAATATGTAATGTAGAGTAAAAAGCAAAATCATTTATTCATCGACATAAGAAACTTACATTTCATCTATCGATAGTCATATATTTTTTTTAAATCTACCACCGTTCCGGGGTTGATTTAAAAAAAGAAATGAGGTTCCTCTAGCTGAGGAGAAACAGGCGAAAGATACTCCGTAGGTATCCTCTTTTTTGTAATTCATTTTTTTCTTAGAAAAATTAAAATATTATACTACTGTTTTTTTTTTCTTTTAGAAATAGCTTGGGAATCAACTCAGGGGTTATTGTCATTAATGTATTCATTTGTATTATAATAACCCTTTTTATAAAGTTTTTCTTTAATAAATTTCTTAAACCTGTTAATAGGCAGGTTTTGCTTAATTAAGAGGATTTTGTTGTAAAAGCGTATACACCGCCCCATGAACGAGTTACTTACTCTATGGAGTCTAGTAACTGGCCTTACAAGGTTGTGTTTGTTCCTAGTGTTTACATTATGTACATTATTATTCTTATATATATACATCAGAATAAGACATAGGCTATAATTTATATACATATTTTTATGTGTATCTGCCTTTCTGTCTGATTGTTACGCCTTCAGCCTATTCTACGCAGACGTAGTCGCGGGCAGCAGCTAGTTATTAATATTTCTACTTTATTTAAAAGACTGCTCAGCAGAACATGTAATTTACAGACTTATCTTCCAGGAAAAATTAATGCATAGTGTTACGACCTTGTGTAAATTCAAAGTGTTACACAATTTCAATAAATTGTATGTCATTTGAATGAAATTATTTGTTTTAAAGGTACATTATTGCCCGAATATACTCGATGATCCCGAGTTGATCGCGGGAAAACATAGGACCCTACTAACGTTCACATCTTACATGACGTCCATCATCGATTACGTTCGGCCGCAAGATCTCAAAAAAGAGCTCAATGACAAATTCAGAGAGAAATTCCCCCACATTAAATTAACTTTGAGCAAACTGAGAAGGTACGTTACGTGAGATTTTGGTTGTCAACATACAAAAATATATATAATACCTACGTGTAATGAAAATATTAATAAAATATATTATATTTTGTGCTGTTGGTGTACCTAACAATAAATAAATATTACATTGTTTCTTCTTTTCCAGTATAAAAAAAGAAATGCGAAAGATTGCAAAACACGATTGTGGCGGTATAGACCTGCTGTCGGTCGCCCAGGCTTATGTTTACTTCGAAAAACTCATCCTTGCTAATTTGATCAACAAGGATAACAGAAAATTGTGCGCAGGAGCGTGCTTGTTACTGTCTGCAAAGTTAAACGACGTCAAAGGGGAGATGTTGAAGGCTTTAATAGAGGTAAGTTTTAAATATTCGTAAAGAACTAGGTATCTGATATTATTTTACTCATACTTTCTTTTTTTTTTTTGTGTATAATATAATCTAAATGGGTATGTCGCATTTATATTTTTAAAGGTGTTAAAAGCGATTATTATAAACTGTATTTTATAGGTATTTTTATAGAAACGGATTTAATAATTACAAGATTTCCAAGTCTTTCACTTGTCGTTATTTATCTTATTTTTCTTGAAGGCTGTTTTAAATATTCTCGTAATAACAAGTTAAATAAAGCATATTAAACATTAATATTTGTAGAAAAAAGTACGTATGTAAATTGGGGATTCGCGCCCGCAGATGAATCCAAATGCTTCAAGAAATACCTACATGTTTTGTCATTAATTTACAGCATAGCTATGCTCGTTTTAAACATTGACATATAGGATAGTGTAATTATTTTTATGTTGTATTTGTCGTTTATTAGCATTGCAATAAACAAAAAACTTTGTTACCAAGTACGTTCCATGTAGTATGTACTATTTTCCGTTTAAATTACTAATGAACAAATAAAGTTTAAATGTCAATTACTGTATTTTCGTACCAAAGCCATTAAAAGTTTAATATCGGAGGAACAAACAGCTGAAAGTATGAATTCGAGTTTGGGTATTTTTCTTTATCTGATATCATTCGTCCGCAGCGCATCGAGACCACGTTCCGTGTGAACCGAAAGGACTTGATCAAGTTCGAGTTCGCCGTGCTCGTAGCGCTCGAGTTCGGGCTGCACGTGCCGCCGTACGAGGTGTTCCCCCACTACCAGCGGCTGCTGCACGACTCGTGACCTTGGCGCCGGCTGGCCCTCGAGCCGTGCGTGCGCGTGTGCCACCGCAGGCGGGCCACGATCGTGGACAACTTGCGGGCCAGCGCTCGGATGTAAACGGACTGCTGGTGTGTTTGGGCGCGCGCCTTACTCTCTCTCGCGCCAGAGGACTTGGCCCAGCGAGTACGGTACACGTACTGTCGAGTGCGAAAGTGGTTTTGTTCATTTGGAGGCAGCGCTTGAATATAAACGAGTGTTTGGGCGCGCGCCTTAAATGCGCCAGAGAACTTGGCTCAACTAGTACGGTACACGTACTGTCGAGTGCGAAAGTGGTTTTGTTAGTTTGGGGGCAGCGCTTGAATGTAAACGGGTATGTTTGGGCGCGCGCTTTAAATGCGCCAGAGAACTTGGCTCAACGAGTACTGTCGAGTGCGAAAGTCACTATTGAGTCAGCGCTTGGATGTAAACGGATGTGTTTGGGCGTGCCTTAAACGTGTCAGAGAACTTGACTCAACGAGTACTGTCGAGTGCGAAAGTCGCTATAATAATTTTGAGTCAGCGCTTGGATATAAGCGGGTGTGTTTGGATGTGCGACTTAAATGCGCCAGTGAAGTTGCTCTGCGAGTACTGCGCGGGTACTGTCGAGTGCAAGTCACTTTAGAAATTTCGTTTAATTTTGTGCCAACTGCAGATGGCCACAATCATTTAAGGGTTGCGGCCCAACCGATCCCAATTTGATAAGTTGTACGTTGGGATGTCGTGACGTGAAACGTGAATACGGCCGAATGGGCTCCGCGTGTACTATCTTGTTCAAAAGTCGCCTAACAAATAACGAGCCAGCTCTTGGATAACAAATATGTATGTTAGTTGCTCCGCGATCCGCGAGCTCGACTTATTAAAACAAACGTTAAAATGCGAACATAAACGTAACCCCCCCCCCCCCCTCCCCCCCCCCCCCCCCCCCGCATGTGGCTCCTGCAATGCCTACTAATTAAGTACCGTGTTCTGCATAACCACTAGGGCGAACTTCAGACATGTCTTTAAGTTTATACAATGTGCAAAATTAAAAAAAAGATGTTAATAACTATTTCCGTGTTTGTTCGGTGTGATTGTTTCGTTAGGAAATGTGTCCTATATTTGAAGGATTTGTGATATGAGATTTAGGCGACTGGTTGACTGTCGTGCAGGTTTAGTCTTATGAAGTATTTAATGATTATGTAGTAAATGGATTATAGATATTAGGTAAATAAGATATGCACAAAAGATTAAAGTATCAATATGGTCAAATGCTACAATTGATACCGAGACAAATAACGCAGACAAGAATTTGTGTTGTATTAGGGTAGTGGTTATCGTAAACGAGGTAAGACGCTCGATTGTAATTTTACTACAAATGAAAAACTTATTTTTAAAAATTTAAATTATTTTGCTCTGTTATAAAATTAAAATTGTGCGTATCAGTAAAAGTTTAGATTAGTACTAGATTAATCGCGATACCGCCGTAACTTTTGGAAGTGAAATAAAAAATCTATTACTTCATACAAATTGCTCCAATAACAACAAATTATCTAATAAAAGTTTTATTGAAGTGATCCACGTCAGAATTCGTGTTTAAATAGCATTGCCAAATTATCAGAAACGAGTTCGTTGTTAGGTAATAGGAAAGTTCCGCCTTCTTAAGGGTATGGGTAAGAAAAAAACGAGCTTGGTGTACAGCATTTTGGGAACGTGTGATTGTTACTAAGAATATATGCTAGATACATAATCTTCAACTAGGGATGTCTAAAACAACCGACACTTCTGCGGTGTCTGAAGCAAAACCCGGTTCGTAATCAAACAGTAAAAATTAAATGTTAAATGTTATTAAAAGTTTAAAGCATACGTTTCACCTCTCCTAAATATAACCAAGCATTCAAAGTGTAGATGAGCATTCTTTCGAATTACTATAATTTCCAAACAATTTATAAATTCGTGAGTGACAATCATTCAGTATTGGTTGTTTTCCGAATGCGATATTTGGTTCTTAAAAGTTGCAAAGTAAAATGGGACGCGAATATTTGGGGCCTTAATAACAAAAAGTACATCTAAAGAAAGGTAATATCCCCATTCTACAAGAACAAGAATATTACCAATACTTGCCGAGTACCCCGCAGTTAAATTGTAACACTGAATTTGGGATCGTTAAATTATGAAAAGGTGCTTTAAATTGTCTACGATATCGTTAAATTGATAGGGATAAAAGATTTTTAAAGTTAAATATTTGAAAGATAGTGTCTTATTAAATAAAGAGTATTTAAGAGTCCTAAAGATTTAAGGTCCGCTCTCTTTCTTAACTTTTGTTTGTGCAGTTAATTCTTAAATACTCAATTATAAGAGTCGTTGCCAAGTTATCGAATTAGTGCTAATTGTCGTTATTAAGTGCAGTTGCAACTTATTGCTCATTAAGGGCACAACGTACGATGATTCCTCACAATCGTACCAATTTATTGTAAGTCTGAGATCGTTACTTGAAAAACGTCTATGTCATCCATAACAAATAAATAGATTGCTTTACAAAGCTGTCATAATTAATTTTCGAGCCCGTATATGTATTTAATTTATATACGGGCTTCGCTCGCGTTGAAGCCCTTAAATAAATATCTTTCTTTAAAAAAAAATTCCAATAAAAGATTTGCCTATGTCCTTTCTCAGGCTCTATCTGTGTACCAAATTTCATTTAAAATGGGTTCAGTAGTTTTAGCGTGAAAGCGAGACAGACAGACAGAGTTACTTTCGAATTTATAATATTAGTATGGATTAATCCTGTAAAGACTTACCTTTTTCGAGTTGTACTTTATTCGTTTCGGCGTTAATATTCGTTCGAACTGAACTTGTCAATTTGTTAAGCACTGATGCCACCTCTTGCCGACCGTGTTGATTATGTAGGGAAGGCGATTTGATGATGAAAACCAATCTAACTCAATCTGGATATGACGTTCATACAATCCTTATTGATCGGTCATTATCCTTGTCGGGACCACACTATTCGATGTTTTTTAGTTCGGTGTTGTATGGGGAACAGATTATGTATAAATCTGGAGACCGCGCTGAAGGATATAAGGGAAAGCCTAGGATTATATTTGCACATGCGCACATGCCAAAAATTATTAATGTTTAAGTAGTAGAAATGTGTTCTTTATAAGCGGTATATAACTTAAATGCCAGGTTTTAAATGATTAAAACCATACACTGTACTCTTCTTTCGTGCTGTGTTCTACGCGGTGCAGTATTCGCTTAACTACTTACATTAACTTATTGTTTTGTGTCAATCTAAAATAAAAAACGTTCATCATCTTTTTTGGTAAATATATTTATTTCAAGCCGTATTAGCGGTCTCAAAGAAGTTATTATTTGTAGTGAAAGAGTTCTATGCTTGTCTAGTCAAAAATAGTGTAATGTTTACAATTTTTTAATAATGTCGTGTGTATCGGTTTTAATGCTAACTAAAATCGATTATTTAATATTTGCGTTTTCATATTTTGCTCCTCATTCGGGAAATGTCAAATGTTAAACACAATAAAAATGATGTCGATGTGAATGAAAAAGAGACAATGACGATTGTTGCTATGCTCAGATTAGTAACTAAAAAAAGTTGTATCATAAGAGATTTAAGATTGATCGTGAGGTACAATTTCTACAATTCGTGATCATTAAAATGAGGGATCAATTCAAAACTTGTGAATAAATCTTTAACAGAAATTTCCTTTATAAACCACTCTATATGAACAAATTCCCTGGTCAATAATTTACTGGGTTACCTACATTTAAATGTGAAGCAAATTCGATGTTGTATGTCAGGTAATAATTTGTTAATCGCTAATTCGTATTTATATTATTATAGTACAGTAATAATTTTAATACAGCACAATTTGCTTGATTCATGCTATTATAGAATATATCCGAAGAGTCTGCTTTTAAAAAGTTTGGAGGTTTTTAGGTAAGCCTCTGTACAGTATGTAGTTAGTATAGCTTATGATAAGTTTATCTATACATCTTTCAATTACCTAGTTATGCTGTTGAAACGAGTAAGAATGTTCTCCGCATAACACTAGGAGTACCTATTAAAGTCACACTTAATGTTTAGGCTTTAGTTGACTCCTATCTAAAAACAAAATTTACGACGTATGCAATAATAGTTATAGTTCTAATCACCAAAACCGCTCAAGTCAATTTCTTAAAGTAGATGCTTTAATAGAAATACATGAATCCCGCTACAAATGAAACTATATTTTCGTAAACATAACATTAACAGTCATGAATTTAATAACTAAAACAAAATGAAATATTTTATAATATTAATGTACGAGGCTGTAATGACATTTGCTTTTAAGTAAAAGCCATATCTATTTATATATCTCATTTTCACAATTGATTCATAGAAGCCGCAATTCCGGTATACGTTCATACTGTCCGCATATAGTGCTGTTAGGACAATACGTTTTTAAAGTAACAAATTGTTATTCATATTTATTTTGTTCATTAAGAGTTGTCATTGTTATTTAAATATGTTAATTCAAGAATGTGTTGAAATAAATATATTTTGATTGTGAGATGACTTTTAATTCAGTATTACAATGTATATACAATTCACTGCATTCTATCTCATTTATGGACAATGCAATATCGCCTAATCGCTAAAGTGTTATTTATGAGAGAGACGGCAAAATTATAATCTGATATTATTGATATACCCTCTCGTCGGCATCCGTAACGCGCGTTTACCATAAGAGAAGCCGTCGTTTAACGTCGATCTAATGTGAGATCGTAAACATTTATCGGACAATTTATGTAAGATCTAAACATGCTATGTGGGTCTAAAGAAAAGATTATATCTTCATCGACTCGGACGAAGGAGTTCATAGGTACGTAGGACCCATCGGAGGACCCGCTAAACAACGCTATACTCACAGAGCTACATTCATAACCGAATAGTTCATCCTTATCTTTACATTTTGGCGAAACCGAAACAATGTGCATACACAAGGTAAGTGCATAAGCATTTCAGGGCCAACGGCCATTGGGGTCACGGTACGTAAAGAACCTCGATTGCCCGAAGGTGACAGCCCGCCCTTTTAAGATAACCCACGCATGGTCACATGCGCGGCCCTACCCGATGCGGATGGCCGTATTAAAGTCGTGGTTTCAGGCTAGACCACGACTTCTGCGCTCGATGAAGCTTTAGAGTGCCGACTGAAAGCAAATCATCAGTTTAGGTAAAGATGATACTACTATGAGTACCGTCCCCACTCCCCAGTGAAAGTGAATTTGGCTGTTTTCTAGCAGTCGTAAAATGATAAATTATTCGAATTAAAAAGCAATAAGGCGCTTAATAATTTACTCGCACAAACAACTACATCTCTTACGTGTCTTACCCTATTAGGGACTATGGAGACAGCTACTGTTCTACTACTGTGTACGACATCACGTAGGCCGCGTATCGCCAAGCATATCTATTCCCTATTGTACCAGTTGTGAGAACGTTTTTACATTTGATAAATCCATATAATTTCTTGGCTGCACTTTGTTTTAGAGCCAGTGACTAAGATCACAATTCCAACGAACCAGTCACCAGACCGTCACTGCTTCTGCCAAATATCCTAACTTGTCCTTATCCTTACTTACCACGGCCTTCACGAATCAGTACCAACAAGTTTACTGTAGAACCACTCAGCAGATTTGAAAATAAGGGTATAAATAAAAATAATATAACAAACTTATAGCTGAACACACCTACTTTGTGACTTTACGAAAAGAAAAAAAATCGAATCAAGTCCAGTCAAGTGACTCGCTTTAGGGACTCATTTTTTTGTCGTCGTGACGTATCGTATAAGTCTCATGAGCAATTTTTTTATTCTAATAATCTATTAGAGCATGCATAATAAGTATTCTGGAATTTCCCAAAAATCTAAAAGGATTGCTAGTGAAGATTTTATTAATAATGAAGCTTTTATTTATTGCAAAAAAATTGAATAAAAAGTTATATTTTAACCTGTGTATAACACATAGTGACATTAGAAAAAAAAATAATTGCTAATACATTTAAGTCATAGACGAGAACGAGATAAAACATTGACTATTAATATATAGTTCAAAATAGAAAAGAAAGTTCGAATATATTTAATAAATATATATATTATCATATTGAATATCTATATTATATGTATTGCCAAATTAGATACAATAATCAATAACCATTGCTAAATTACAATAATTAAATAATAATGTATCTCGTAGAATCTCAAAGAACTGTACGTCGTGAAAGTTCCATGTTTTTAACGAAAAGGTCTGAAGGTAAATCATGTGATACGTATTTTATCAGCGGGAAACTAACCCAAAGTCTAGGTAGTGAGTCGACCATTTTCCTAATGAATCGTCCTAAAGGTTCAGTACAAAGAGAGATTGTAACACTCATGTTTAACTCCATGTTAGATAGTATCGTGGAATCTTGGGAAACAGTGAGTCAATTTAAAAAAGAATGTAGTTATACTAGCAAAGAATTGGGTAAAGTTGTGAGTAGTATTATGCCACCAAAAAGGAAGAGATCAGTCGGTAAGTTAAGATGTTTTGCAATTTCTTTAATTTTTTATCTCAGAAAGTGGTGATAATTTTTTGAATAATTTCAGCGAAATCCTCAAGATCAAGAAAATCTAAAGTTGAATTATTCGATGAGCCACAGGTACAAGTTAGTTATTTATCAAAAGTTTTTTAATGTAAATTTTATTTAAAAATAAAAAAAATATGTACTAATTTAGGACGAATCAATACCGCTCACTTGGTGGTCTTCTTCCGAGGAAAGAGCAATAATTCGGTTCCGAAACGGTAATATATACGAGGGAAACATTTCTATGAAAGTCATGCATGGTGAAGGCTGCTTCAAATGGGCTGATGGAACTATATATTCCGTAAAATTATTTTTATCTATTTGGAAAATAACATGTAGCATTGCTAGTATTTTTTCGTAGGAATATAATATTAACGATCCTGAAAAGCACACATTTATAATAAATGAGATTACCAAAACTTGGGTAAAAAATGTACCTAAATGACTACTAATTTTTCTCGCATTTGAATATTTTCCACAATCGCTAGTGTTAATTGTTACTAAATATAAAATCTAAGATAAATTAAATTACAAGTTTAAATTAATATCATACGATTTTTTTTACACACAGGGCTATTTTAAGGATAACGAAATGAATGGAAGGGGTCTAATTCAGTGGAAGGACGATACGTGGTATGAGGGAGAATTCGCTGGAAATTTACGTCACGGCAAAGGATTATACGTCGATTCTCGTAATCAACGCTTCTACATTGGACAATGGAGTAGCGGGTCGAAGCACGGAGAAGGAATTATACACTATTCGCGAACATTCAAAAATACCTACGACGGTCAATGGGTTTATGTTAGTTAATAAATATTTTTTATCATTGATTTAGTTAGCGCAGTTGTTAAGATATTGGCTTCGCACCGGGAATCATTACCAAGGAAATTTGACAAGGAGCAGGCGGCTGCTCGTAAAAAATACCTATCGAGGACCACTAAAAACATAGATTACTCTGCCACACGTAGGTGGGATAAGGAAAGCTTACGTGTCTAACAGAAGTTGAAACCATCAACCTTATATGGCTGTACAATAATTCCTAAATTACTTTTTAAAAGTTGTATTCAAAATTAATTTGCCAACGTAATATTATAGAACGTCCGACATGGATTCGGTTCCAGAGAATACTGTCCTCTTAGCGGATATGAGGGGGAATGGGATTTTTACGTAAGAGAAGGTAAAGGCCTAATGATGTGGCCGAACCATGATGTAAGTATATTGTAAGTTTATTCTTTTTAATTAAAGTAACAGTAGTATGTCCCACCCCGGGTTGGCAGCCTTTGCATATGGTCAAAATAATTATTTTCGCTCACATGTCAAAATTAATTATTATTTCGAAAATAGGCAGCTACTCCTCGCGATGTTTTCCTTTCCATTGATCACTTGATAAATCAGCACTTAAAATTGCTATTAACAATTTTGTTGGTACTGTTCTAAATTAGAGATTATTCTAAATTAAATAAAAAATTGTTACTTATATTTGTAAATAACGACATTAATTGAAATTATTTCTTTAAAAAATCAAGAAGGCATAAAACTTGTGTAATGTTATATAAGTATAAAAATGAATTGCTGTTGGTTAGTCTCGCTAAAACTCTAAAACGGCTGGACCGATTTGGCTAATTTTGGTTTTAAAATATTTGTGGCAATCCAGGGAAGCTTTAAACGAACGGGAAAAATTGCATGGAAAATCGAAATAGCAAGAATTTTATTTTCCCATACAAACTGTACCTGTCAACCTGTCAACTATGTCTGTGTATCCTGTCCAACACTTTATGCGTGCGTTCCTATTACTCTAGAAATTATTTAAATAATAATAATAGTCAGCTAATTAATATTAATTATAACTTCTATTAAATCTACAATCCCTCAATTTTTATTGAACTTTTTTTAGTTTTACAGAGGAGAGTGGAAAAATGGTGTAATGTCAGGCTGTGGAACGTATATTTGGGATGCTTATAACAACAATTCACTGTCACATCCAACGGTTATCATTTATCGGGGGCAGTGGTTGAACGGCCAGCGCCATGGATGCGGCACCTTAGATTTCGGTCTAGGTCTCGGAGCGCATTACAGCGGGGAATTTAAAAACAACCGCAAGCACGGCGCAGGAATCCTGGTTTCTAACAATGGCTACATTCTGCAAAATAAGCAGTTGTTTCAAGACGACAACCTCAGGGCATTTGCTTCGGAAAACACGTCGGAGGAAAGGAAAGGTGACCAAGTTTTAGAACCCTACAAATTTGACATATGCGACTACTCCACGGGTCTCTGTTATCACGTAAAACAGGCAATTAAGCATTTGGATAAACAGCAAGAAATCAGAAATGCACTGATTAACAAATTCATAGACAGTAACAAGACATTGTATGAGAATAACACGCTATCAGCATGTAAAGAAAACTGCAGCGAGCATATACCGAACGATTTCATTAGTTTTGAACTTAGATCGTTACTAAGGTCTTTGCGGTGTTACGAAAGTGATCTAAAGAGGATTTATTACAAATATTCAACTATACTTAATACTAAAGAAATTACGTTTACTCCCATCTTAATAAGACTTTATCTCTGGCAAATGTATTATGATTGCAATATTCACGAAAAGGGACTGACGTTAGTAGAGATTGACAACATATTCTCGCAGAATCCGAAGTGGCTCGCACATTCGCCTCATGACCCATTCGAGCCAATATTTTTTTGGCAATTTCTTCACAGTCTTATATCGGTGGCCAGCAGGCTTTATGCTAAAAAACAATTGCCTGGTCCAAAACCAGATACCGTATTGGCAGATGCCTTCAGAAAATTTATGGACAAAGATGTTTTGCCTGGAGTACGTCAACAAAAAGGTAAATTTCCAATCCCTACATTTTCGTCAGGACGACTTTGATCGGTTTGTCTTTGAGAACAGTTTGGAAATAGTGAGTTTTTAAAATGATAGTATAAATAAATTTAAATTGTTTATAGTGCTTATCCTTCCACTTATGATTTAACATTAAAATTTGTAGAAATAGTACGAAAAGATTTTTGCCACTGTGGGAATCCACGTCTTCGGCATTCGCGGGCTGACGCTTTAACCACTAAGCTAAACGGCTGATTGCCACAGCGACGAAAATCTTAACGTATTTTATCTGCTCTGTTTTTTTTTTAGCATTTGAAGCAATGCTTGGCGCATCCATTGTTATTTCCTTTCCAGCATACAAACAATTTCGAATATCGTTTTACAACGATAATTCGAACGAGAAATGTCGCCATTGCTTTTTATAAATTTAAATTGTTTATAGTGCTAATCTTTGCACTTAAGATTTAACATTCAAATGCTAATAAAAAAAAAGAAAACAATGACGTTAGGATTTTCGTCACTGTGGCAATCAGCCGTTTAGCTTAGTGGTTAAAGAGTTACTTTTTCAACATATTTTAATGTTAAATCGTAATTGCAAATGCAAATAACGCAATATGGATTCCAAAAAAAGATTTCGAGTTACTGGTGGTCTCAACTTAAGATTGTGAGGTAGAAATAGAAACCACTGCAGTATAACAATAAGTTGTCGGTAAGGTGAGTTGTAACAAAACGCTTGAGCTTCTCTTTAAGAAATATGCTCCGAAATAATCAAGAACTTGGAGTAGACAACGACAAACCACCCTACGAAATAATTCGCCCGCTATATTAGCTTGGGAAAATATATGAAGACTCCGTCGCGCAGTTGCCAAGGTATCGGCTTCGGCGTCGGGGGTCGTGGGTTCGATTCCCACACGGGACAGCTATTTGTATGACCCACAGATAGTTTTTTCGTATCTGGGTGTTTGTTCGCGTGAAATTTGTTTGTCGTTTACAAACATAAATATCACGCTTACAACCTTACAACACTGGATAATGTTATGCTAAAGTAAGGGCAAAGTTTTTTAAGAAAAAAAAGAATAGGTACATACATTAATAAAATAAACAAGTTGTAGGTAACCAAAGGTTTTTTTGTTGAAGTTTAGGATGCTGGAGACTTTATGAAGAAAAGACATTGGGCAAAAACTCTCGGAACAGTCTTATATCTAAAGTGATTAGTTTAGGGATATAGGTACATTAATATGTTTAACGAAATTAAACCACTTTCAATTATTGACAGGACGACTTGTGAATGGTTACGGCGAGTTTATACCATTGAAGGGTCTTTATGAATTATACGTAAGTTTAGGAGAACCCCATACATTACTGAATTACTTGCGTGCTGTGCGTCGACCTCCTCATCATGAAGAACATCCTCAATCCGCTATTGTCCAAAATTTCGATAATATTCCAATGCACGGTTGCAATGTTTTTGTTTTTTCAGACGAAGTAACTTATATTTTAGGTAAGATTCCGTAGAGACATGAGAAAATTTTCAAACATTAACATTCTCATTTATTGTATTTAATAAAATCATTACAACACCTTCTTTCCATTTTAGATTCTAACAACGTAATAGACTCAAAAGAAATCAATGGAAGTAAATATAAAGGGTTAAAGTTGTACAATTTTGGAAATCTTACAAGCAAAACCTTAATATCTATATTTTCAGTAATTTTTCCCCAAGTGCGTGAGAGCTCTAAAGTTTTGAATCTTGACATAGAGATTACATTTTTGGAGTTTTTTGAAATATTTGTAGTCTGCGCAATTAAAAGTGTTTATATCACTGATAATGACCGCAATGGGCAGGAATGTTTTTTGGATGGTCTTGGTCTAATTGCACCGCCTCAAAGTCCAACTGGTTTTTAAATCAAGGAAACATTGTTATTAACAGCAAAGGTATTTGATAAATTGAAGCTACTTTTATATACATTACACAAATTGATAAATTTAAATCTAGTACTAGCAAGTTAATAAACTGCTATGTACGTTAATCTTTGTTTTGATTTCCCGTCACCAAATCCTTTTAACCATCCTTAATCATATAACTTGTTATGATATTCCTATCGTTAATAACAGGTAAAAGTAAAGTAACAGCCTATACATGTCCCACTGCTGGGCAAAGGCCTCCTCTATACAGAGGGTATCAGGGCATAGTCCACCACGCGGCCCCACTGCGAATTGGCGGACTTCACATATCTTCGAGATACATTTTTTTTGTTATTATTTCGAAAATATGCAGGTTTCCTCACGATGTTTTCCTTCACCGCGGAGCACGTGATAATTCAGCACTTAAAGTTAAAAGCTTCATTGGTGCCGGCACCGGGGATCGAACTCAGGTTGCTCGAGTATATATTGAATTAAAGTCGAGCGCCCTGACACTGAGCTATCTAAACAGGTACTCTATTATATTTATTTATATAATGCATAAACCGTAATTAAACAGACTGAGTTTGGGACACAATAGGGCAGCAATGAGGCATATTCGATGTATAAACGCTATATTCTTCCATCAATGTGTTTTACCAGTGATGGCCAACGGAAATGAATCTTGGTCGTAAGCTCTAAAACGGGCTATGCTCGGTATTTTTCTTCGACGACCAGTGTAAATGTGCAGGAAGTCGATGGATGCACGTGGCTCAGGAACGTGCTTCGTGGTAGTTTGTGGGGAAGCCTATGCAGTGGGGTCGAACGGGCTGAAATGATGAACTCCGCATTATAACATTTGAGAAAATAATAAAAAAAAGCAGTAATTGAACATGATATGTCAAAAGTTCTTTTTCACAGTATGTCGTTATGGGCATTACTTGATTGAACAGACAGTTGATTTCAGCCAATCAGGATAAAAACTCTGAACATCAATTAAAGTATATCAGGGGAGGATGGCAACACGATATAGATTGTAGGCTAGGCACAGGGCGTATATAGCATGTTCTATCGTGAGATTCAACCCCCTTACAGTGTAATATATTGTTTCTTAATTTCCTTATATCTTTATATATTTAATAATTCTTCTGTGCCTGAACTCCTTCTAAACGGCGGGTTCGCATTTGATGAAATTTGTTGTTTGTGTTAGGTGGATTCCAGAATGGTTTAGACACATTAAAATAATATTAATCATCTTTTCCTTTCATTAAGTTCGTCAAAATGTCTCAATAATCTGTGATTTCATGTTTCTTGGTTACATTTAATCTGAATCTATCAAACATTTAATGTCAAATTTGTTTTCTTTTATGTTAAAATATTACTTAATTTAATAATCAAAATGAGAACTAAAAACCCAATGGCAAAAAAACCACAACAGATATTATTCTCGAAAAATATTTATGGCCCTAAAATAAAAGTAGAAAATTGGGACTACTCTATAAGAGCTGAAAAGAAAGATAATTATGTATACCGCGATCATCTAAGTAACCATTTAAGTACATATTCACGTCTGGGCAATGACGATCAAGGAGTGGGCCTCACTGAAACTGGACACATGCTTCAACAAATTTTTACGAAAACGAATCCTTTATACATTTACAAACCGCTCGTTAATTTTACTTCATATCCATGTACCGAGTAAGTATGTTAACATCAATAAGAGGTGCAAAATTGAGTGAATACCTCATCTGTCTTCGCTATAAGTGTTAGATAATGTAAAATATATTTTAATTTACAACAACTGTAACATTTCAAAAAGAAACGCATGGACGAAAACACACGTAACTACTGGTTTTGTGATTATTGAAGTAGCTGTTTGTTCGTCGTTATATGCTAAGTTGCAAAACAAACTCGGGTAAAAATTCGGAACAGTACGTCTCGTTTTTCAAGCTAGAAAAAAATTTTTATCGATAGAGAAACGTTAATAATTAAATATTACATACATGAAAAGCAAGGCAAACACTTACTTTTAATAAAAAAAAAAATATTTAAAACTTGTTATTTTCACTAAATAAATCCGCCATTTTGTGTTTGACAACATGTATAAATTTACGAATTCACACACTTTTCCAAATGATAACCTTCGCATTATTAAAAAAGAGTCTTTAAAAATACTAAAAGTACTGTTACACTAAAGTTTTCTGGGTGGTCATAAAAAAAGAACCTAACAACGAAGCCCTAGCCTATCCTATCCGAGTCGGATCGCTCTGTGTCGGATCTGTGACTCATTTTGAACCTAATATTCGAGACACTAAGCCACAAATTTTAAATTTTAGAAGTTGTTAATAATACATGAAAGTAGAAACTCGTGTTTTTGTGATATATCTGTGTATTTGTGTCTTCTTACAACGTAAAAAGTGAAAACGGTAAGTTTTTAACTTAAAATAGTCTATAATGTATTCATTATACATTATAGACTATATACTTCATTATACATTATGGACGCACAGTAATGACGGATTTCAGTTGTATGAAATTTAAAAAGTTTGTTAATTTTTTCCTCATAATCTAGTGGTTTTCATTGATTATAACTTATATAATATTTAGTTATTAACATTCCTCTATAGATTAAAATTTTTTTCTAGCTTGAAAAACGAGACGTACTATTCGGAATATTAGCCCAAACTCGAACAAAAACGGGATGAACTGAAACCTACCGATTTGTAGGAAGCCTCAAAAACATTATTATATAAAGGCTCCAGAGCCTTAAAATTTGAATACTACTTAAGGCTAACTATAAAATAATTTAATTTTATATAACGTTACAATCTAGCACTCCAGGGAGAAACAAATTAATGAAGAGCGCTGGTTTGGCACAATTGTCAGCAGATTTTGGTATCATGGACTACGTAACTACACAGCAAGATGATTACAGAAATCCTAATCCCTGTGTGACAAAACCGGTAATTCGCTGAATTGCAATAATTCATTTTTTTTCTTTCATCCGTTATTACGTAGCAAACCTTATGGGTAGGAATAAGCTAGTGCTTTCATAGACGCGCTATATCTTTCGACGATCCCTTTTAATAAATTAAAAACTTTTTTGGTAGAAATCTTTAAAAATTTTACTGTGAAAGAGTTATGGCTAAGTGCTATGAATAGGGTCAAGCAGAAGCATATGGTTGAAAGGGTAGTGCTATACTGTTCCTTAAGTATTATATTTTTCATGGAGAGAATGAGGTAACCGGGACCCACGCTTATAAACTGCAAAGCATCTGCAGCCACAGAGCTGTTGTATATGTAAATAGGTGGCGGTTATAACTTAGCTTCAGAATAACTGCCATTATATTTATCTGCCTGACTGACCACTAAAATGGTTATATTATTGTAATCTCTAATTGCGAAGATATGAAACAATTAGGATATATCCCTAGTTTTTAAGCAACGGGAAGTATGTAGGCTCCCTCTACATAATATATTTTGATGAGTAAGTCTGCATAAATGGCCTGCATCCATTTATTAGAACAGTGTTAAACTGCCACTCGACAAAGTATATCACAGCGGGACAATTCACAAGCTCTTAAAATGCAACGGCTCGTAAGGAAAACGCCTCATTTTGTAAATATATGAACCGGTCGTTAATGACGCGGGCACAGGCGCGTACCCGCGTACTTTACTTTTACTTTTATTTTGTTAACGATATTTTGTTTTTGTAATAAATAAACATAATTAACACGGTTGTAACATGTATTAACCTTGCATGACTGAGCTATTACGGATGGGAATAAAATGCTTCGAGCCGTAATCAATGAGCAACACTTTTGGCGGGGTAACCATTCCCGACGATAAGGAGCTAGAACTTTTCATACTAAATCGTGCAAAATATCAATGCACCGAAATTCGTATACCGACTTCGTATATATATTTTGTCTTGATTACCCTGATGTTCTTTAAGATTAGAAGCAAAATGTATTATATCACAAGTGGCAGTGTCATGCTTCGGCTAGCAGCCGAATGGCACGCCCGGGGAAGAACCACTCTCACTGGAAACCGGTGATGGGGATTATCCAGATGTCGTTACTGACTCTTTGACCGATGTGGTTCTTCAGGGTATGGAACTCTCAATTCTGTTCTCTACAATGCCCAAAGGTGGAAAGTCGCAACCTTACTTTTAGCCCAATTTTAAAAAGGTCCTGTCCTGTCAACGCACCTGCAACCCTCAGGTGTAGCAGATGTCCATGGGCGGCACTTATCACTTAATATCAGGTGACCCGCCTGCTCGCTTGGCAACTTTTCACATACAAAAAAATATTTTGGTCGCTCCTGCAAGATGGCATTACGCCGAAAGCGGGAATGTTACCAGGCCTGAGCTGACGCGTCGGT